AGATACAGACAGCTGGTGTCGGATGGAGGGTCGGCGGCGCGTCCGGGCTAGCCCCGCTCTTGGGCTCGTCTGGCGTGCCTGTGGGGCGCTCGGTGTTGTCGGTGACTCTGGTTGGGAAGTGATCTCCCCTTGCAGGGCGGGGAGCATGGAAGGAAGGCGATCCGCATCTCGCACCGGCCGTAGCGCAAACGCGTCAGGTGTTGCTTCCATGGAGGGTAGCGCCGTGACCAATGGCTGGCCGAGGTTGCGGGTGTTGTTGCCGGGAGCGCCAAACAGCTGTGCCCGGCTTTCGTGGCTGCGATGGTGATGGTGGTGGGGAGGTCGGCCGCGTGCAAATGTCGTCCGCTCAGGAGGGGAGCTCAGGGAGAAGGCGGGAATGGGCGTCGCGTCGGCCAAGGGTGCGTCCGTTGGCTGGGGTATCTCAATGGGAGGAGGAATGATGCGCCGTGATCGATCGGCTCGGTGGGAGGAGCTCGACGCAACCTCGCCGGTCCGCGAGGAGTGGTGTCGGCTTGATGCACCGAGACGTGCAGATTTGTGAAACTCAACCTCAGCGCGTGCCCGCATCTTGTCGATGACCTTGATGTAGTTGTCGAGGATGGAGGCAATGACGGGCACCATGTCGGCCTCAACCACACGCGTCCTGACGTTCTCTGAGCCGCGTACGCCAATGTTGAAGATGCATTGGAAGGCGAGGTTCCACTTCCACATGTCCATCATGTCCTTGCTCCGGCCCTCCTTGAGGATGCATATCAGGCGCTCGATGCCGCCATCGACGGTGAGAATGTCCCGTATGCGGGCCGAGGAGGTTGTGAGGTAGGCGAGGTGGTTGAGCGAGTTGATGAGCGGGAGGGTCGATGTGCAGTCGAGAGCGCGGCGGTCGTAGAGGGCGGTGGTGATGCCGACCGACGCCTTGTTGGCGTTGGGGATGCTAAAGTTGACTTCGCGCATGTTTGGAGCTGTGTGGTGCCGTGGCTGGGTGGATGGGCGGGAGCTGGGTGGTGGAGAGGTGCAGGACTAGTGTCGCATGTGGTGGGCAGCAAGCAGGAGGGTTTGGCTGCAGGCTGGGAGCGAGCAAACAGCGGAGCCCGGGGTGAGGGGAGAAGCAGCCAGTTGTTTGTTGATGCTTCAGGCTCGGACGCAATAGAGGGGCCCGTGTGGTGGTGTGCTCAGAGGTGCTCAGATGGTGCTAAGACGGCGCTTCACGGCAAACGTGTGCTCGAGGACGGAAGGAACCCGACGACGCGGTGACGACGGACCACAGCCAGACTCGGACGAGACCAGGCTACTACGGCTGTTGGGGGGAATAACCAAAGCAGAGGCCGGTGGAAAGGGATGGTGATGGCGGAGATGAGGCGTGTTTGCTGTTGTTAGGGGGACCAGGATGGCTTCGCTGCCGCTGGCTGGCAGGCAAGAGCGCTCTCTGGCGTCGCAGTGGGGCCGCGCAACACTGGTGTCGTCTCGTGTGTCGCTCTACGGGTAGTGGTGCTAAGGCTGGGCTATGGTATGCTGGATGAGGCTGTCGGCGATGAATGGGATGTAGAGAGGCGGTTCGGGTGAGAGGTCATGGGCAGTGGAGCAGCTAGTCCCACTGTTAAGGATTGGCACCGACCGCCCAGAAGGGTAGCCTCGAACCGCTAATTTCATGCGCTACGGGCAAAAGAGAGCACCGAAATGACTGCCCTCGCCTTGCACACGCTGTGTTGAATGGCAATATGGCTGCTTGGAAATGCACCCTCCTCGAGGACCGTCAGCACGTGTAGCGACATGTCACGGGCGCCTGTCCCCGCCGTCCACGAGTCCCTCTACCGCCCAAATTCCCTCACCCCGTCTCCGCCACAGGTGGCGCCCTTGCCTCTGCCTCTGCCTCTGCCAATGCCGTGAACCCTTGAAACTTGTCCCCCCACTGCATTGCCAGCGAACTGTGACTACTGAAGCTGCGTCTGTTGGCGCCTGCATCTTTCGGCGGCACTCGAGGGCTGCGTGGGGCGCCGGCCAGCTGCACGATGCCACCAAGGCTGCTGACAAAGGCGGCCCTCTCCTTGGGCTTCCCATGCGGTGTCACCACTACGGACTCGACGCATCTGACTCAACGTACGAGCAATTCACGCATTTCGGCCCAAATACACTGTGACGGGAGTGAAGTGGTACCGGATAGTTCTGCGGGGTGCACAGGGTCTTTGCAGTCCCGTATTTACACATTGTTCCGTCATGGTGAGGGCCATTGGGCACATGAAACTCGCGCGAAGCTCAGAGGTTGCGACCTCACAACGTGGGCTACACAGGAGAACCGCCAACCACCAGCCAATCCGCGCCCTGCCATATCAATGGCTGCAGCATTCTATTCTTCACTCTCGTTAACCTGAATAATTAATCCAACCCCGTTGCTCCACAGTTTCGGAATTTCCGACGCGATGGCCGCCTCTCCTCATGAGACAAAAGTCCAAGACTTCGCATCCGCTCCACCCGCGCCCGACCAGCCAGAGCGCTCTGCTTCAGATTCGGCCGCCCCTCCACATCTGACTATCGATACCCAGTTCGACGAGCAGAGAAGACGCGGCCGCTCGGCAACTGCGACGACGGCAACTGCAGCATCGACGAACCGAGACGACGTCCTCTCCCCTGACCGCTTCTCAGTCGACTCGACCCTGCGCCGACGTATAACGCGATCGCATACCGTCAAGCACTACCAGTCCCCGACGCGCCCGTACCAGCACCAGGAACCCGGTGCGGAGCCCGGTGTCGACACCAAGAACGAGACCGACGGCGCCAACTACCACCACCTTTACGCGCGATGCCAGATTACCGTCGTAGACTTCTCCGACGAAAAGGTCGAGTGCCATGAACTGGACAATGATACATTGGAGGACTTCCTCAACTACCCGAAAGAAGACTGGGTGGCATGTCGGTGGATCAATGTCAATGGCTTGTCCTGGGACGTGATTCGTTCCCTGGGAAACCACAAGAACCTGCACAGGCTGGCTATTGAGGATTTGATGAGTACCCAGAGTAGGACAAAGGTGGACTGGTACTCCGATCAAGCCTTCCTGCTCCTGACGCTGTCCAAACTCGTGCGGACGCCCATGGACGAGGACTCCGAAAGCGACTCCGACTCAGATTCCGACGATAGCGAACGACGACGGCACAAGGCTCGCTCCCGCTCCCGCTCACGGCATCCTCAGAAGAAGAAAGAGAAGAAGAAGTCGCTGTACAAGAAAGCGAAGAACCTGCTCTTCCCCAAGAGCGAAGCCAAGAAGCAGGTACGCAAGGATGAGATGATGAGCGCATTGGACAACCTAGAGAAGCAGCTCGACGACACGCCCTTCGAGAAGGTCAAGATATCCACACCACCCGCGACTACCGCCGTGCGCACTCTCCAACGCTACCGTGGCGGTTACAATCTCGATCGAATCGTATACCTCGAGCAGCACTCTGCCCTCACCGAGAAGCACCTGACCGTCAGCGTCGAGCAAGTCAGCATCTTCCTCCTCGCCGACAACTCCGTAATCTCCTTCTTCGAGCACTCCGCCGACGACGTCGAAGACATGATCCTCAAGCGTCTCCGCACCGAAGACACCATCCTGCGCCGCAGCCAAGACAGCAGCATGATCGTCCAAGCCATAATCGACGCCATAGTCGATCTCGCCATCCCCGTCGTAGCCGCCTACGAAGACGCCATGGGCGAGCTCGAACTCGACGTCCTCGAAGACCCCGAACTCCACCACTCCCAACTCCTCTACCTGCTCACCTCCGAACTCTCCATCCTCCGCAACACCATCCAGCCCATCGTCTCTCTAATCAACTCTCTGCGTGATCACAAGGCTGATCCCATGGCCCAAGCCACCATGATGAGCCAGAGTACCGCTAACCTCGCTACCCGCAAAACCATGACGCAAATCAACATCAGCCCCCTCGCACACACATACCTCGGTGATGTGGAGGACCACTGCATCATGATTACAGCCTCGCTGGACCAAATGCGTCGCGCAGCCGATAACCTCATCGACCTAATCTTCAACATGATGGGTGCCTTCCAAAACGAATCCATGAAAATCCTCACCGCCGTAACCATCTTCTTCCTCCCGCTTACCTTCCTCGTCGGATATTTCGGACAAAACTTCGAGCGTTTTAATGGCGTTCAACACCACTCCGACGCCTTTTTCTGGGTCATTGCTGTGCCGGTTATGGTTGTTACACTACTGGTGCTCATGGCTGATCGGATACTGCGCAAGATTAGGCATTGGAGTGGGAAGTTGAAGAGGAGGGAGGCGAAGAGGCGGGCGGTTAGGAAGGGGAAGGTGGGTGGTAATGGGATACTGGGTGATGGGATTGGGTTGAGTAATGGGGTTAGGGGACAGCAGGGGATGCATCATAAGAGGAGGCAGACTATGTATAGTAAGGGGAACATTGGGTCGTTTTAGGTTGTCGGCATGGAGTCACTTTCGGTGTTGGGAGGATATGCGATGGGTGAGCCTTGTTGCGTGAGTACCGGCGGGCTTTCGTATAAAAGTGGCATACTGGCATTTTGCGAATTATCTTGATAGACTGTATAGAAGATACCCTGTGTTACGCTCGCAGTTGCATCCTAGTGTGTCTGCGCGTCGTTGCTACTACCTACGTACCAGGGGCGGCTTCCTTCAGGGCGATGGCGTCATGGCGTTTTAACATGCCTTCCCCAGCCATCCAGTCGTCCAACTCACCTGTACACAACCACAACAACACACTCGACGGACAGAAACAATGCGACGGCCACTCCACACATCCGCTGGTGGGCTAGTCTGCTGCCGCGGTTCGCATGTTCGGCCAGACACTTTCCTATCATCAACTCCATGATCGTTCCATGGGGGAGCGAACTGAAGGTACCATGGTAGGAACTACTCTTATAGCTGCTACCTGACTGTGCTAATCTCTTTGGTACCCGAATTTTAGGACGCAAGCTTTTCTGCACAGCACAGTCAAGTCCGCTTATTCTTTTTTAAAAGATCATTACACAAATTACTATGGACGCCACGAACGTTGGATGGACGAGCGTCAGACCGGAGAGCGACGAAGAGCGATTCGGTATGCGGTCACAAGAACGGCAAGCAGCCTTCGACAAGATTGAAGCCGAGCGTAGCTCTGTCGAGATCGATCGCGTGCTTTGGGCGTTCTGCCAATTCGCCGACCTAGACTTCGTGAAGAGGTTGGCAGCGTCAGATGCTGTTTGGAATGCAGAGACCGATTTTCCGCGCACGAACGCTGCTATAGATGCCGTAAGGCTCTGGCAACAAAAGCCAGAAGTAAAGAACGACGTCGCATCCTCCAACGCCGTTGCACCCGTCTCCCGCCCCCATACCGCCTCCGGGAAAGCATCGCGGACAAGATCAGGACGAAGTGAGGACGGCCAAGAGGCCAGCCTTGGAAGATCAGCGGTTGTCGCAGCTCGCTGTAAAGATCGAGACGGCAACTTTTGTGCCGTATCAAGGACAAAGGGTGCAGAAGCGGTCAGTAAACTCCCTGTACGAACTGCATATGAGACAACAACTGACTTTGTAAACCGATCTTTAGGCCCACATTTATCCATGGAGCGCGTTTAGAGAAAAGAGCCCGGACCGAGTGACGAGCAGGCCTGGAACCTACATCGACGTTAGGTCACCTACTTTGCAGGTTTCTACGTTGATGTAGGCTGCAGGCCTGCTCGCTTTGCAGTGGCACCTTCAGCGTATCCTCGCGATGTCTGGCGCGGCTGGTTGGCGCGACGAAGCTTTCGATGACGACGACGACGGCGACGATGATGCGGATGGCGTGCCCGCTCGGGATGTTGACGGCTGGATCCGACAACTCCCTGAATCACCCTCTGGCTATCAAAGCCCTCCAGCCAGCGGGCTCGAGAATACATCCGAAGATCGTGCGTTCTGATGAACGCTATCTATAAAATCCTCAAGCTTCTAACAGTTCTACCTAGTGTCACCTCCTCACAAGCGCGTCAAGCGCCGTCAAGACTCTTTTCTTCCCTCTCCAATGTCACCAACCTCGTCCAACCCATTTCTACGCCGACCAGACACATCAGCCAGAAGGACAACTGTAAACTCGGAGGATACCCGTAACACCCAGAACGTGACAACTAGTAAAACTGGGTGGATATAAATCTAGTAAATAAAGATACCTCAGTTGTGCTTGCACAAAATGTATGTGAGACATACATTAACTTCGTACTCTCCGCCAAACAGGCTCAAAGACTACATCGATATAAGAACATGCATGGCAGGTGGCCTGACGTCGATGTAGGCTCCAGGGCGTTTTAGCTGTCTTCTTTATCTTTTGTTCTATCGTCAAGCTTGCGCATATCGTCTTGTAAGCTCTATAGTCCCCGTCGTCTCAATTCAGCATAAGCTTTCGAGATGCTCCTTGATATCTCATTTGATCCCCTTCGTACCGAGCTCGAGCTCAGCCTCTTCTTGCGCCATATTGACCCGTGATCCACTCCCGACAAGTAATCAGATCAGCCGACACGACAACCCGTCAATTGCAACTCCGGAGATGTTGATACGCCCTTGCATTCACCGGAATCTACGACGAATCTACGACCCCTCGTTTGTGCTCAAGATTGTAAACAGACCCTAAATTCGTGCACAAGCTGACTAACCTAAATGAGGCAAGTTGGCTGACCATGTAGTTCTAAATGCCCCGCTCGGTAGAGTAACGAACGATCGAAACATCTCGACAATGATAAACAGCCGACAAATTACGAACACGAAAGTCAGAGTGAAATTGACCACGCTGTTAGCGTTCTTTAGCTTCATGGGCCGCCCTTCTCGTGTGTCGATAAGCCCCCAGATCATTGAAATGATCATGGTGATTCCAATAGCCAGGGGTATAGTCACTACTGTTGCCAGGGAGCATACACGCCAGAGAGCCTTTTCCACTTGTGTCGGAAACACAAAGTCCCACGCTACGCAATGCACCGCGCCAAAAATGATGAGGGCTAGCACACCGCCTTGGTTCATCTTGGCCATTGGGCCTACCATCGATCGCTTGGACTCAAGATGAATTGCGTTGTTAGGAATCCAGATGCTTCGTCTGTATTTGCCCCAGGTGTATGGTCCAGCAATGGCAATACGTATCATCTTCTCAGGAGTGGGATACCGGGCTGCAGTAACAGTGACTGATATCGAAGCATCCTTCGGCTTGTCCAATAGAAGGCCATACGTTAATGCCGTGCAGATTGCGAAAGAGAACACCACAATTTCCAACTGGCTTGTTGGTATGTGGTAGCTAAGCCGAGTTCCCATCTGGATGAAGAACCAGATGACCTGGCCTAAAGCCAAGACTTTGACGAGTGCATCCTCTTTGGTTTTGTCATCTACCTCATCTTTCGACAAATTTGGGAGGGTCTTGATGATTCCTAGTTCTCGTGCAAGCAACAATTGATGGGCGTCTAGAATCCACAGATCTCCTTGGAGGACGTGCAGGTTGTGGAACCAACTTGTGTAGCCACGGAGAAATCGATTTCTCTCCCATTCGGTCTGGAAATGTTCCATTGTAACGATTTCGAGAGCTTTCTCTACGGTGTGGATGTTGGTGTTGTTTGTCGTCCAGTCAATTATACCAATACTTCGGGATGAGTTCTCGATCGATCTTCTCAGTGATTTTGCAGAAACCAAGCCGCGATGCGACCTGCTATAGAAGAATCTTTGCATGTACACCGGCAGTTCCTGTTTGCGCGACTCGCCATTCTCACCATCGTCTGCTCGGGGACCTAGTTCCTCAGCTTCATCAGAAGTCGGGCTCAGACCATTCGCCCTAATTTCAGGGTTTTCCGAGCTTGATTGGTGGCTGGGGGACATTTGTGGTATCCGAGTCGGACTTGTCGGCAAAGCAATGGCGTCAAGATATGTAGAGGTGGTGTCGTTGTATGTAGGATCTGAAGCATTGGGCTCGAGTTCCTCTTCTGCCTGATGTGTCTCCTCGGTGAACCTGATAGCAAATCCACCCATATTCGCAAAGTATGTATGCGCGCGACTCCAAGGGACTTCATCCGCCTTTCTGAAAACGTCGAATGCTTCCTCGAGTGTCGAAACAGATCGGTAATCGCTCCATGCTTTTCCTAGCGCCCACTCGGGTGCAACAACGTTGACGGCCATCCATTTCAGCTTCGCCAAGAATCTGATGGCCTTGCGCTTGTAATCTTGGGTCTTTCCACTGGGAGTCGACTGTGTCGGGACATTAAGATGGAGGATGGACCACGTGCTGAGGACCAAAATGCTGAGGCAGCTCCAGAGTATGTCTAAGGTTCCTCTGGCGTTGGGAGATGAGACAAAGCCAGTGCCATCTGGGGGAAGAGTGCAGTTGCTGTGAAAGACTGTCATGATCGTTCGAGTGTACTGTAACGATTGTGTTGATGGGGAAGGCACGGGAGGCAGCTCTACCTAAGTAGGCAACAACGAGACGCGCACGCCGATCCTCAGCCCCCAATCATCAAAGCCACATCTCTGTTTCATTGGCTGCATCGTCGCGAATGATACTCTTTCTGCATGATGCGCTGCACTGCGCAGCAACGCCAAGTCCATCAGGCTGAAACTTCCATGTTGCGTAGGCATCCACTCCTCTCTGTTCTATATCTCACCGGCTCGGAACGCTCGTTGGCTATTGGCCACGCCCGGCTTTCGCCTGCAATACGGACCAGAACTATACGAAGCAATCAAATCTAGTCTCCGCTCGTCAGTAGTTCAGACTCTGCCCCATACATTAGGTACACATACCATGGAAGAAGAACCCTCAGCTACACGATTCAAACACGAACCCCTTCCAGACTCGACTACATACATACGTTTGTTGGAGATCCAGGGTATCGATTCAGATGGCCACGTGGCATGCCTTCTAAACGCCTGGCCTGTTGCATCCACTCCCGATTACTATGCCCTTTCGTATGTCATCCGAAAGCACACCAGCTACATGCTTCACACTGATTGGATGTTGTGTCAGATATACCTGGGGCTCACCAACCCCAAGTCATCAAGTCTTCATCAACAATTGCGTCTTTGAGGCAGGCCAGAACTGCGTTGATGCACTCAAACAGGCGTATTCGTCCACGGCGAGCCGGTACTTCTGGATGGATGCTCTGTGCATCGATCAAAGCACCATACAGGAAAAGAGTCATCAAGTCGAAATGATGGGTCAAATATATGCAAAATCGAAACATATGTTTGCATGTGTTGGGCCTCACACGAACGACAGCATGTCTTTGTTCAATTTCATTGGTGAGAACTGGTCACTTCTGGACAATATACACGAACTCACTCTTGAATGCACTTTGGAAAATGCATTCTCCTGGGTAACACCCAACCTGATCCCGACAAGCTATAGGAGCTATGAGCTTGCGATCGAATGTTTAAAAACAAAAACGATTGCCCTTGAAGTCGAGGCGCTGTCAACAATGTTCATCGCCTTCATGAACCGTCCGTATTTTTCAAGAGTTTGGGTCTTACAAGAGCTTCATCTGGCCCCCGAGATCACCCTTTGCTGTGGCATGGAAAGACGTCCGGTCGACCGTCTTTTAGCTATGAGCATGATGGTAGACTATCTGGTCAATACCGACTATCATGTTGATCGCCTAAAATTGCAGAAAAGCTGGGGCAGCATTAAACCCCAGCGCGGCTGTCTTGATCTTGCTTCTGGGTTTAGAGGACGACGCCGATTGACAGAGATACTAGAGGCCATGCAGAGCTTTCACTGCAGCGATGTTCGGGATAGGCTTTTTGGTACTCTGGCCTTGATAGAGTGGGGAAGTGTCAAACCTGTTGTACCAGACTACGGGAAAGACAACTATCAAGTCGCCATCGAAGTACTACGTCTGTATCTCCAGAATCCAGAGACCCAGCCAGTCTCGGGTTTGGCAATTGAGTGGCCACGTCACTTGTGGCAAACTTTCCAAGTGCATATTGATGGGCAGGCGGTGCAACAGACGATATCCAAGGGTTATGGTAGCCAGACCATGCGACTGGACAAACTCTCGTTCATGTACGACGCACTCATTGCTCTGGAGTATTTCGGCCGATTCAGCCCCTCTCTAGGCTATCACGTCACCCCCTCTTATATTCCACCGTCGGACTATGGAGTTCCAACGTGGCATCAGGACTACAGTGGTCATCCAAAAGAAACGTGGTGTGGGGTTCAACTGCGTGATATCAGACATGCCAGAAAAGAGACGCCGATACCAGGCGACTTATTACTTCGCTACCTCTATTGTTCAGCGCATAAACCTACGCGTGGATCCAACTCTGGTGCTCCGTGTGTAGAGATCTTGGATCATATGAAACGCGTGTTTGGATTTGCACCAGTGGAAACCAGACCGTCTGACTGGCTTCTATTCAGCAAAGACGGATTCCACAGTGACGGAAGTCCCGTAATGGTAGTAGTGAAGAGCATTCATGTTGACCGTCCTGACTACGCGATGGTTGGTCCGGCATCCCGGAACTGCGAACACAAGTTGGTCGTTATTCCATACCTCCGATGGAGATCCTTTGGCGTGAATTGGAATGCAGAAGACTTGTTCCGCTTCGGCTACATGTATAAGAACCGTCCGATATACTCAGACACAGCCAAGGAAACCCCGGCTAGTTTGAGTTAGGAGAACAGCAACCGCAGTCTCACAACCACCTCATTCAAGGAAAAGCCAGACACATCTTCAGAACAATACGGCCGGACCCGTGAGTCAAAGTACCCGCAAAGACCACAATCCAACGTTATTTCTTCAGCCCTTACAAACACCAAACTCTTCCTGACACCCCTTCTCCATACTACAGTAATCCTCCGTAATCCCACAATTCCCATGCCTACTACAACACTGTCCTGTCCGACAAATAGACCCTTTCCCCTTCCCTTTTTTCTCATTCCCACACGTCAAATCGGGGGTAATCCTCTCCCACGAAATGCTGTCGTCCACGGTGTCGCACTTTGCAAAGGGTGTCTGGCAGCTAAGTCTGGATCTAGTGAGTGGATATGGGAGGCGGGCGGTGCGGTACCATTGCGAAGGTGACGGTTCGCCGAGGCATTCTGCTACTGTGACGGCTGTGGTGGGGTAGTTAGCCTATGTCCGTAGGGAAAGAGGATGGGTGAGGATGGGCTCACTCTTTATACCCCTCTCCCTCACAACCCCAATCATATAATCAATCAACTCGCCCTGCGTCCATTCCTCCTGGTCATGCGCCTCAACAATACTATACCCCTTCTCCAGCCCCTCCACAAAAAGCTGCTTCGCCTCCCCCACCGTATCCTTAGCCTGATACTTCCAGTCTTTCGTATTCAGATCCCCGATAATGACGTGGTATTCGAGCTCTTTCAGCACATCGAGCGCCTGGCTGTTGACTGAGAGCAAGGGCGGGCGCATGTAGTACGGGAAGAAACCTAGGATATCCAGCATGGAGTCTTCGAGGAGAGTCATTTCGTTGCGTATGGCGGTGGGGGTGAGGGAGGAGAGGTTCGCGTGGCTCCATCTAGATTGACGAGAGATTAGTTGTGTGGTTTCTTCTGGGTATGACTGACCCAGTTCTTGGTAGGGCAAGGTATGGTTTCTTACGTATGCGACCCAATCTGATGCCCCATATCCACCATCCGACGTAGCGTCGCATTGTGATCGTATATAGAACCCCTGTTCTCACCATTGATGAACCATGTCGCTTTGAAGCCCGCGACTTCCATCCTGGATTATCCAATCATGTCAGCGTGAGACCCAACTTGCCGACGTCGATTCAGTAATGATATGGAATGGGTATAATACCTACCGGTCGAGGATATCTGCGGAGTAAACTCCTGGTCCGTCGTCGAAAGCAGGTGCGATGACTTCAGGCGTTGTACATGAGTAGATTTGTACTCCGAAGGGGAGTGTGGAGGCGGATGATGTTAGAATGGAGAGAGTAGTCAGGGCGCCTGTTATGGAACCTAGTCTCCGGGCCATCATCGTTGAAGCTGCAGTATCGTTTGAACAGATGCAAGGTTGGATATCCGCGTCTCGAACGTGGGCTTTGGACGAAGAGCAATCATAGTTAATAAGAGGACGACGAGTAGCAGAACAACAGCCAGAACTTACTAGTTAAGCCGGCACCTAAACTTTCTCAACCTCTCTAGCTTATAACCATCTGCATCGACAGTAACTTGGTCTCATGCACGACATCAGTGCCTGCGTAGTAGTGTGTGGTACGTTCCTGGTAGCCCGACAACGACGGCTGGGCCGCCGGGGGACTATATCCAGGTACACACATGGTTGAGTAATCATACATCGCATTTACAAACCCGCTCTTGTGGAGATCGTACGCGTGTAAGCATGCAAATATCTGAATCGCGGATCCAGATCTCAAAGTACACCATCAGCGTTCGGCGCTTACATAGGCGATACTAAGGTTTAATTGTCCCGGCTTGGGAGCGAGTTGACCGCTAACCTAACCCAGGATACGAACTGGGAAGGTCCCGTTTGCTAGAAAAGGCTTGAGCGGGATCTACGGCACGTGGGGAGTTCTGATTACTTTACGTTGGTGCAAGTATATACAGTGTTGGGTTTCTTCGGTCAATTGGCAGTGTAGTGTTTTGGAATGAGGGTATTTCATTACGGTCGGTCTAATCAACACCTAGGCTAGCGGCTAGTCATCATCAACCCCCATCGAAGACCTAACTTGCCGCATCACAACATGAACCAGATGAACGCCAAGTAATGCATATCGCGACATACATGTCCAAAGGAGTAAGGCATCAAACACCATCCTCTAGTATAATATCAGTTTCCTGTGAACGGAATGCGCCTATTGAACCTGCTTGATCTTGCACTGCCATCCTGAGTTCGCCTCAAGAAGTGGAAGACTGGCATTACGTTAGCACTGTCACTGTCTCAACAAGCGTAAAGAAGAACTTACCTAGCACCCAAACACCATCCCAACTCGTTACCCTTAATCTTCTTCGCAATCTTGACCTCACGATCAATCGGCATACCATACCCACTCCTCAACAGCTCATACTGGAAGTTGAGATCCAAGCACCACTCAGGCCTGCCCTTGAGCTCCTCGATAGCCTTGGGCACAGCGTTGAAGGAATCCCAGCCCTTCTCGCCGGTGCACACCTTGTTGGCTAGATCTTGTAGCTCGCGGAGGGTGAAAGACTCGGGCATGCCAAGGTCTTGGGTGCGGTCGTAGAAGTAGGAGAGGAGGTAAACGGCTTCGGAAGCGAAGGTCTGCTCGAAAGGTGGCTGGTGGACACCGCGGAAGGCACAGGGTGCGATGGCGCACTCGTCGTCTTTGTGGAGGGTCTTCTCGGCTAGGCCGCGGCATTGGGTGGGCGAGGCGGTGGCGGGGCCGGTCATGTTGACTGTGACGGAGTCCCCGAGTGCGTGACCCTTTGGCATTTGCACCTCGACTTCGCGTGTCATGCCGGGGGCGATGCAAGGGTTTACAATGGGCTTCTGGAGGTACTCCTTGTTGTCCTTGTTGTTCTCGTGGAGGCCGGCGAGCAGGGTGCTGTGGATGTTGTTGCGGGCTTCCATGAGGCCGTAGCCTAGGTATGAGTGCTGGTAGAGATTGAAGTTCTGGTTGGCGAAGTCGAGCTCGTATCTGTGGTCGCCCTTTGCGAGCTCTGTGGGGAGTCCGCCGCGGGGAGTGTCTGGGAAGGTGGGCTCGAAGATGATCTGAGTAGAGCCACCACCGAGATCGAGGACAGCGGCGGTGGGGTTCTTATCCGGACCGCCAATCTTTCCAAGAAGGTAGTTGACCGTGATCCATGCGTAGACTCCCTCCATCTCGCCAGGCATGACTTCGACGCCGTTCTTCTCTTCCGAGACGAGCGGGAACGGGTAGTCGTTGTCGAGATGGTGGCGCACGGCGGCGAGGATGGCATTGCTCTTCTGCTCACCGAGCTTGCGGAGACCGGCCGTTGCCTTTACAGCGACGGGTGTGCACGACTGGTATTCCTTGGGCACGTTCTTCAGCGCAACGTCCATGAGCACGTCCAGACTCTTGGCAGCAGCCTCCGGGTTGTCGCCGTATGCTGAGAGACCGGAGCCTCCTTCTCTCTTGGGTGTCATCTCGAAGTTCTCGCTCTCGAGCTCGGGGCTGGGGCCGCAGTTGTTGAACTTGTAGACGTGGATGCGGGAGCCGGTGCTGCCGGCGTCGATCATGAGGGCATATTGGATGAGCGGCTTGTCCTTGGAGAAGGACTTTGTGCATTCGGCCTTTGCGTCGCCAGCTGCTGTGTTGCCGCCTGCTGGACGGGATACTGATGACGGTGTTAGCACGTGTCTCCTCCAGCATGCGTCCTCAACGTACCTGCCGGTCTTGAGATGCCATCGCGCGGTGCAACAAAATATAACACAAGCAGTATGAAAGCAATGACGCCACCTGTCTTCAGGTAGCGCATGCGCTGCCCTTGGTTCATGACGGCGCTGCCCTTGTGGTCGTTCATGAATGCGTCCGAATACGTGGAGCGATGGCGCGAGTGTCGGTCGGCTTTGGCGTTGGGGTCGCTGGCGTCGTGATTGGGGTCGACGTTGCGTGGTAGGGAGACGGAGACGCGGCGGCGTGGGCCAGTGAAACTAAAGTAGGACCAGATGCCGGGACGTCGTTGGCTTCCGGGGACCTCAACTCCACTGGACATGGGACTAGGCGACACGAGGGGAGAAAAGGGTCCAAGTTTAGGGCGCGGTCATTGAGCTGAGCTGGAACCAGGTTAGTCGGGGACGTGTGGCGATGTGAACACAGGTACAGGCGACGTACAACAGGAGTGACTGTTCAGAGCAGTGGGAGACGAGGTGAAATTGCGATTGGCGTTACGCAAGCCTGCTGCATTCGTGTTCGTGTGCTTGTTGAGTGAGGTCCCTGAATCTTGGCAAAACATTTCCACTTCAGCCCTGCCGCGCCACTATCCAATCGCGCCGGCTTATCGGCGCGGCTATATTTGGCATCGCAGTCAAGTCGAGACGACGTGGTATCTTCTGATTATGCTACAGATACACTATGGATATGTTGTGACCGTATATTCTTCCTTTAGAACATCTGATCTCCTGATCCGTGTAGATGTCATCCCCCGACATGTGATCTATCTCAAACCATGGCTTCACTGCCTCCTCCCTTGTATACCGGCCTCCCATGCTGGGGATTGAGTGCGCTCACTGGCGGGGATATGGTCTGCATAGCATGGAGAAAACGGGTAGAGTGAACCGCTGGGAGGTCGAGAAGCTGAACTGCTTGAGCGGGAGGTCTTGAAGGGTCGCCGTGGGCGCGTTCGATAGTGGTATTCGTAAGGGCTTCGCAATGATCGTGCAGAGCAGCGTACCGTAGGTCGCGTGTGCTGCCTCGGGCCTTCATCCGAAAGACAGGCCAGCCCTCTTCATAACGCTCTCAAAGTCTTCGAGACTAACCCCTCCCACGTCTTTCTCTTGACCCTTGACTCCGCCGTTGGCCTCGATGATCATATCCTTCAGGACCTCGTCTGGCACGTCTTCTCGCAGTTCCTTTGCTACCCTCCGCAGATGCCCCAGCGTTATCGGTCCCGCAGCGCCGTGTGTGAAGAGCTTGTACGCCGCGCTAACTTCTTCCGCGTTGCTCTCGCCCTGGAAGTCTTCGTCGTCGTCTTCTTCGTCGGACCCTTGTTCTTTCGAGTGTATGGCGATCGCAGCGTAGGAGAGGAAGGGCACGAACTCGACATAGCCGGTATTGAGAGGGTCGATGGTGGATAAGATAGAGGACATCTCGGACTTGTCGGGTGTGAGGTTCAGCGAGCTTTGCAGTCGTTAGCATGGGCGCGCTGCTCTCCGGCGCATTCGCGTGACCTACATCAGAACTCTGCGCACATCGCTTTTCTTCAACACGCCCTCCTTGGAGTCTTCATGTTCGGGGTGCGACACGGCAAAAAGGCCGAATGCTTCGCGAATCTCCGCCTCCTGCGCCGCGGTGATGCCGTTCTCTTTCGCAAGTTTCGAGGGGCGTTTGACAGGCGGCGCCTTGGAGGGAGGACCACGTCGTTTAGGAGGCTATCACGTGTTAATTGCTATCCATTACCACGACCTGCATTCCAGAACTCACCATGTCGCGTGCTTGCGAGAGTTGAAACGCGCCCCTGTGCTGGTGGGTGTCGTTCATCATTCCATTCGCTTCGATGACGCGACTGCATGGGCCAACGCCAAGGATAACACAGGCCAACTCCCGAACACCCAAATTCTTCGCTTCCAGCCCCCCTCCTTCGTGTCTCAGCTTATAAAGGCAACGCGACTTCCTTCGTGTCCTTTCCTCATAACTCCCTCATTCCATCCCCGTTGCGGCTCTGGACTGCTCTTGTTGCTCGCCATGTCTTGACATGGCACAATGTCGACGCGTCGGACGCGATTAGCGTCGACATCTTCCACTATGAATTATCCACCCCCTGAACCCACCCATCCCCCCTGGTGCCCCTCCGGTCTTGCGAGATAGGAGGTGGTTTTTCGCAGGCGAGGAGGTGAACGGACGCAATGCTTGACCGCTGCAAGGCGTGTCACAATGTGTTAGTTTACCCGATCGTCTGGGATTAGCACAGGCGTTGGCTTGGAGGGTAAGTCTTCTCTCAGTCCAACGCAATGCCTTCAGCACTAACTAAGCAACCAGATTTGTTTGAATCGTCACGATTGTCAAAATCCACAGTGTCGCTAGGGGTGGAAGCTGCTTTGCAGAACTATCCCTAGGTCAGACGGTGGTCACATACGAACCATATAAACCGAACGCGTCAACATTTCATGGACCTCGCAAGCAGGGGATTTTCCCCCGACACTGGGATATGGGGTGTTTAGAGGCTGGACCTCTTGCTCACAACAAGAGCTTCGGCAGTCTTAGATCCCTATCTCAGAGGAAGAAGCCAACAGATATGAAGCCGTCTTCGGATGGTCTTCGACAGGCCGCATGGCCCCTGGCATATTTTGCTACAAGGCACCCGTGGGTTGACGCGTTCAACTTTGTGGCCATGCACGAAACCCACCTGTGTGGAGGGTTTCCCATGAGCTGACCCTTCCCTATTGTTGAGGCTAGCGCGTGAGCGTGGGACTTGATGATGGGGCTGTGTAGTCGGGTGCATGGCTACGAACGACTGTTAACGCCCTCTGACAGTCGGTTCCGCTGCGGCGGAATCGGAGGGAGCGACTCGCCCATGCGTCGGATGCTACCCTGCCATCAGGCAATGGCCCCGGTCGACTACGCGAACTCCCCCTCCAACGATTGGTGGCAATGGATGGCTGTATCCGTCACTATCGACAAGGCGACGCACTACGTTCCAGCGCCTTTCGCGGTGAGGTTGCTGCAGCGGCCTCAAAAGCGAGAAGCTCTTACACTTCGGGAGGCTCAACCCGGAGATAGGGCATGGAACAGGTCTGACCAACCCGTGCGGCATTGGAACCTTGTATTCCAGCCGATCAATATGGTTACAACGCCTTCGGGATGTTGTCTGAGGGCTGTGGGCTTATGCTTCATGTCGACTTCGTCGGCATTTAACTACTGAGGGCTTTTGAGCACATACACGTTATACACGCTGTGGTTCTATGGTTCGTCATACACGTTACACACGCTATGCACGCCATACACGTTACACACGCTATACACGTTATACCTGTCCGTCCCGTGGGGTGCTGGCTTTGAGGGAGTTGTCTTTTTCGACCTTCGACCTTTTCTCATCCTTTCCCCATTATCTTAATGGGGGATCGATATCCGCTTCTAAAATTGCTAGAGCTTGCCATTACGGATTTTCACGTTGAGCAAGTGTGGACAGTGAAGCAAGATTAAACAACCTCATCTACCCCCTTCAAGGTGATGAGGCCTTTGTTCCTCAACCCCGTTGAGCCGACTAGATGGCTTAAGGGCGAGGAATGGAGGAGACATACTTTTGTTGCACCAAGTTCTTTGGTAGTGACAACGTTTTGCGGTTTTCATTTGTTGCCTTTGCTGTGATGTCGCGATGTCGCTGGCTCGTTGCGTGGCTTCGGTTAGCTGTGTTATTGTACAGTCTCCGCCCGCATAGCCACACAATATAATCTTAATCATCTTAACGTTACTGTCTTAATAGATTATCTTATTTTAATCTTAATAATTTCTATTTAATATTTGTTAAGAAGTAAAAAGTTATAATAACTTAGTATAGTTATAATTCTAATATTAAGGTCTATATATACTATAGTATATATACTAGATCTAAAAATTTTAGTGTCTTATAAGTAAAATAGCTACCTAGTAATAGGTATAAAAGAATCTTTTATATAGTAGAAACTTTTATCTAATATATATAAAAATAAATGCTAGCTCTAGAACTTTACGCGTAATATTAATTTAGTAAGTAGTACTTACTAAAACTATAATAATAGCTACCTATATTAGTAGTAATAGTACTATTAACTTTATTTATACTAGCTTTATTAAGTATACTAATATAATTACTAGCCTAAATAATACTTAGAGGCTTCTACTATATATATAAAATAAAAAGTAGTTAAAGAAGTAGCTTAAGGTAGAATAAAATAGTAAGTATATTTATTTTATACTTCTAAGAATAGATAGCTAATAAAAGATTAGGCTATATAGCTTTCTTAGCGTAGATAAAAAAGAAGATTATAGTACTTTATAAGCTCTTTAATAAAATTAAAAAGAAAGAAGATTTTACGCTAAAGAAAGCTAGATTTATAGTATACTTAAAATTATAGTAAGATAATTAAGTAATTAGAGAAATACTTAAGTTTAGAAATAAAGTTCTAAGTTTGTAGACTAGCCCTACTACGTACAACTAAGGTAGACATTAGAGGGATATAACGTTAGTTCTATTATATTATTTATTATTATTCCCTGCATAGCCAGCGCATGTTGATTGTATGGTATTCATGATTCCTAACACTTCTTCCCAGCTCTTAAGCTTGCAATATCAATACAATGGTTTATTCGTCTCACTCAATGTTGTCGAACATGCTGTGATATTCTTCTGTGGTCATGCTGTGATTCCGCGACGTTTGTCGCTGCATCCAGCGCCCTGCATGCTAGCGTGGACGAGGCTCACAAGACCCCACCATCACTGCAGCAAACCATACCTAAGATCTCCACCATGTCCCGTCTCGCGCCCACCGTTTCGCGGCCGCGGTCCGAACTCACGAATCATATCGCTGTTATATCGTGGGCAGCGACAAGCTTGCATATGTCCTTCTATTTCGGGTAGCGACACTGATTGTCAGCAACTACGTCTGCAGCATGCCTGTACACGCGGTACTACCTACCCTGAAAGAATGATATTCCCGCGACTACTCCACCGGCACTAAGCAGTTTGAAGCATTGTAGCTGCCATCGGGCGTATGGCGAAAAAATCCAAGGTTCGCGCGGCTCAATCAGCATGAACTCCAATGTGTTATGAACGTACTTCTTTGTTCTCGTTCCAAAAGCTAGATCTCTTCTCAGCTGTGTACCGTTCTTCGTCTCTGGCACAAGCAAGGTGACCTCAACATGGCGTTTCTAGCGACGACACCTCTTCTCATCGTCGTTGGCACTCTTGTGTTCTACACACTCAGCCGCTTCTTCTTGCGCAAGAACAACCATGATCTTCCGCTCCCACCGGGTCCCAGAGGCATCCCTCTCATTGGCAACATCAAAGAGTTACCCAAACCTGGAATTCTCGAGTGCCATCATTGGCTCAAGCACAAAGACCTCTACGGTCCCATAAGCTCGGTCACGGTCCTAGGTCAGACCTTTGTCATCGTCAACGATGCGAATATAGCAGTAGAGCTGCTGAGCAACAGGGCGGCGATCTATTCAGGGAGGCCACATATGGTGTTCAGTGGAGACATGTACGCTTCTATGCCTATACCAAGCGATCGAGATGGCTGACGAAGAAGCAGGATTGGCTGGACCAAGACGTTGGCGATGCATCAACCCGATCAGAACTTCAAACACCATCGTCGCAATATTGCGAAAGTAGCCAGCTCCAGCACGTCTCTTGCCGTCTTTGATCGCGTCCAGAACGAAGAAGCAGCACATTTCCTCCTGAATGTCATGGAATCTCCCACTGATCTATTCGAACATATCAGGAAAGAAGCAGGTGCTGTCATATTGAGAGTCACATATGGCTATACGCCAAACGCGAAGGGACCAGATCCGCTAGTAGATATAGCAGGGCAGGCAATGGCAGAGTTTGCTGACGCGAGTGTGCCTGGAAGATGGCCTGTAGACGTCATGCCGTTCTGTAAGCTTGCCTCTATATCATCAGGCTACCATGTATGCAGTAACGCGCGCTGACTTCGGAAAGTACGTTTCCTCCCAGACTGGTGTCCAGGTACCGGCTTCAAGCGTACAGCTCGGCAGATGGCAAGAACCTTGATACGCACGGCCGAAGAGCCCTACGCTTTCGTTAAGTCGCAGATGCAGGATGAGAAAGCGAAGACATCCTTCCTCTCTCAAGCCATCGAATCTCTCGGCTCAGACGCATCTATGGAGTACATCAACAAATGGTCCGCCGCATCCATGTACCTGGGTGGCGCAGACACCACCGTCTCGTCGCTGATGACGTTCTTCCTAGCCATGGCCGTCTTCCCAGAAGTCCAGAAGAAAGCTCAAGAGGAGCTGGACCGTGTGATTGGCGGAGAGCGATTACCAATCACCAGCGACAAATCAAGCTTGCCGTATATTGAGGCCGTAGTGAAGGAGACGCATCGATGGCATCCCGTGGGGCCTATGTCGATACCCCATTCCTGCACGCAAGAGGATAGCATCAATGGGTATAGAATACCGAAAGGGGCGATGATATTGCCTAACAATTGGTATGTATGATGGTGCGAGAAGCAGATGTATTCGTAGCTAACAGCATGCAGGTGGTTCACACACGACCCAGCCGTCTACCCCGATCCTATGACCTTCCGTCCCGAACGCTACATCGCGACACCAACCCATACCGCGGAGCCCGATCCACGTACATGGACATTTGGCTACGGGCGTCGAGTTTGCCCTGGGCGCTATGTCGCAGACAACGCTCTTTTTGCGACAATCGCGCAGTCGCTGTCTGTCTTCAATGTCGAGAAGCCTGTCGAGAATGGGAAGCTAGTAGAGCCCAAGGTTGAGTTTGAGCCTGGCGTGATAAGCCATCCAAAGCCGTATCGTGTGGACATCGTACCGAGGAATGAGAAATGCAGAGAGTTGGTCAAGCAAGCGGAGGAGGTGTACCCATGGGGCGAAAGTGATGCTGAGACTTTGAAGAATCTGAGCTAGATGCGAATGGTCGACGTGGTACAACGCCTTCCGAGGTGGAGAGCTAAGTTCAGCATGTGCTTATCGCGCGTAATCGTTCGATGCTGCCTAGGTATGCACTACTGCTGTAGAATTCCACGTATAAGACACTTACAGTGTAGTAATGGCCGCAAGCCAAGGATGACAAGAAATGATTCTGGGTACGGCATATGAAGTTGTTGACTGCCATTCGGGAAGTGGAGGATGGCCTATCCTCCTTTGGACAAGCGTACCCGAACTCGAGCCGCAACCCAGGTTAAACAAACGCGTGCATGCACGCGCGCGTCACCAACAGAAAAAGAGGCTGGCAGCTACCCCGGCTTTCACGCATTTACCCCAGTAAATTCCCCGCATACAGTGCAGATCTCCAGCGAAGATACCAAAAAATTGACCGGGGCCATGCTTTTCAATTGCCGCATGACGTCCCAGTCAAAATCTCCGTTGCCGGCGATGCCCATAAACAACGCGCAGACGGTCTTCAAGCTATGGCAGCGACGATCCAACGCCCACCATGTTACCCTCAATCAAGCGCTCTCTTGCTGTTGCAGCTCTCGGTGCTTTTTTAAAGGCCGAGGCTGCTCACATCTCATCCAGAACAAAACCAATTGCGATTCCAAAGTCTGCACCCAACGATGCCGGTGTTCCCTTGGACTCTTTCGTATCTTACTCATTTGAGTTCTCGTCATGGCCCGACTTTGCTGGTATGTCTCCTGCGATATTCCAATTCGTCACGACAGCTTGACTGACGATCATGGCTTCTAGGCAATCTGTCGCATCCCAATGCCTTCTCATACAACCTCATGAGCAACCTTGGCAAGCTGCAAGGTTCAATGCCAATTGCTCGCGTCGGCGGCAACACACAGTAAAACGCCCCCGTCATCGCGATTCTAGGTACATGTAGCTTACTCAAGAATTAGGGATATCGCCATTTTCGATGAATCGCTCGAGACCAGCATCGTCGGCATCATTCGCCCAAACATCTCCGCCGACTACCCGACGATCATCACCATTGGCCCGTCCTACTTCGAGTCCTACAAAACTATGCCTGAGGGCACGCGATTCGTTCACGGCTTCAACATGGGCGCCAACTCCAGCGCTGCAAGGGCCACGACATGGGCATCCGTTTCCCACGCCTGCAAAGCGATAGGAAGCGACCTGCTGTTCTGGGAATACGGCAATGAGCCCGATCTCTTCACTGCTTCTGGATACCGACCTGATGCCTGGGCAGAGGCAGACTATGTCTCCGAGTGGCTGAACGGCACGACTGCCATTGAAGAAGCCACCAAAGCAGCATGCCCAGAACTCGCAGGAACCAAATTCATGGCACCGAGCTTTGCAGGTATCGGAGTCAACGACTACTTCAGATTGGACCCCGTTGAAGTCCTCAAGCAGGGATTGGACGAGAAGCAGAACATCGGCCTGATCGCTTCGCACAACTACATGGGTGTCTCTACCAACCCCGGCATCACGTTGCAAGGCACATTGATGAACCACAGCAGTGTACTCGCCAAGGCAGACGAACAGATCGGTGTGAAAGATGGTATCAAGGCACTGGGAGACGCGCTGGCTCCAAACGTGCCCTTCGTCATGGGCGAACACAACTCGCTCGCCCGACAGGGACGACCTGGTCTCAGCAACAGCTTCGGTGCTGCGCTGTGGGGTGTAGACTGGAACACCTATCTCGCGTCGCAGAACCTCACCCGCTCTCACATGCATCAAGGAACAAACTACCGGTAAGTGACCATTCCTCCTGCATGAACTTGTTCGTGAGCTGACAGCATCAACAAAGCTACCAATCCTGGCAACCAATCGAAACGAACCTCACAGCTCGAGGAACAAAGCCACCGTACTACGGAAACGTCGCCGTCGCAGCATTCATGCACAAACCTTCATCAGAATCTGAACTCAAGATCTCCTCGCTGCCCTCCTCTTCAATCTATGCAACCCAATACGCCGCCCACGTCGACGACACGCTGGCACGCATTCTCCTCGTTGACCTACACACATACAACACGACCGCCGATAACAACTACACCACACCTTTCGCACGTCCGGTAGAGAAGTACTCGTTCCAGCTACCGAGCGACTGCAAGGGCGAGGCGCAAGTGCAGAGGTTGATGGCCAATGGAAGTGATGCTATTACGGGTATTACGTGGGATGGGTACAGTTATAACTACGAGCTCGATGAGGGAAAGCCTGTGCGCATGGACAATGTGACGTGTGGGGAGAGTGTGAAGGTAGATGGGAAGGGTATGATTAGTGTGGAGGTGCCGTGGAGTAGTGCTGCGATTGTTAGTCTGGACTGCTGAGATATGTTGCGTACCTCGAGCAACCGAGTATGACTAATGAGAAATCTATCCACTTTGTATCTCGTGGCGGTACACTTCTCAGTGATTAAAGATGATGTTCGATATGGACTCCGCATGTTGGGCTAATCCCTGCGGTTGAACTCGGCAACGACTTCACATCCACAACCGGGGTTCGGCTGTGCGGCTTGTACCCAAGCACATGGATTATCGCAGTAACAAATCGGCGGGCTAAATGGAATTAGTACATCAAAACGACGAACGGTGAGCGTACTTACAACATCTCCGCAGGCGTAGCCCTAATCCTCTCCGCCTCCTCCCCAAAATCCCTTCTCCCCCCATGCTTAAACTCCCTCCACACAGTATCCCACTCCCATCTCGTACTATTCTTCACATCCCCACTCACACTCACCATCGGCACATTCCCACCTTCCCCGTACCCCAACGCAAACTTCTCGTACAACAGCGTGAGAAACCAGTCCACCCATACTTTCTGACAAAGCATGACGACAGGATCGAGCTTGAACTCCGTGACGGGATGTATTCCATCGCCGAAGAATTGGAAAGGAAGTGGGGCTTGAAAGTGCAGGTCGAGGTAGTCAATGGTATTAATGTCCGTCAAGACACGCAGGCCATTAGCTTTCCCAGCGGGGAGGGGCGCGAATGCCAGTTCAGCGGTAGTTTTATACCCGAGGAGACGGAGGTATGCGCGGTCGCTGAAGTTCAGCGAGACCCGGCGAAGTGTATTGAATGCGTGGGTGGAGAGGTGAGGGATTGTACGGGTTAGCGTTGCTACATTGCCGAAGTTTTTGGTTGTGGTTTCCCAGATTGTCTGGCGGGCTTCGAGGCTGAAGGCTTTGCTGACGAGGAGGAGGGTTTTGATCCATTGGGTGGAGGAGCGGGTTGAGCCGTAGGGACGGTGGGATTGGGGGTGCTGGCAGGATACTTTGTCTCGGAGGAGCGGCGCGTTGATGGATAGGCCCCGCGGCCAGGTGTTGGGGTTTGGGGGCACGTCTTCTGGAGATGTGTCAAGTGGTGTGTTGTTTTGATCGTGTTGTGATGCAAATGCTGCATCATGTGCATGGATACCAGCATGTCCAAGTGTTTCCGCCTCTTCGGGGACTCGATAATCAGGCCATGATACCGGGCCTATCGATGCTTCAAAGACCATAAACCGCAGTTCAAGCGGAAGGTCCATGAACCGAAACGACGTGTGGTAACGATCGAACCACTCATCAAGTAGGCCACAGTGCGTGACGTCCCCACGATATCGCTCTATCAGCCAAGATCTAGCAGATACGAACATGTCCTGAGCCATCGCAGAATCCTGAATATCGAGCTCCGGCTCGCCGTTGTTGGACCTCCATTGCGTAACTATGTCATGCCTGACCGCACTCCCGTCTGACCCTGTTTCGAAAACGGTGAAGTTTTGAACAACACGTTTAGCATGGTAAAGAGGACGAATACCAGCGCGTCGCTCGATTCGAACGCCCTGTGTATTCGTGTAGAAGTTGAAACTATTCCGGCGCTCTTCATTTAGCAATATTCTTAGTTTTGGTAGTGCATCTGGTATGCTCTTTAGCTGTTCCTGCTTCTTAAGTTACTCTTGTTTGGTAGAAGGACCGAACGCGGGACAGCTTACTTGTATAGGGCTCGGCGGTACAGTACTGGGAGGAACCCGGTTTCTGTCGACTACCAATTGACTGGCGTGATTGGGGCTCTGCCAATATGGCGCGTGGACGGACCACGCGTCAGACATTCTCTAAGTGTCTGATGATGAGTGTATGTTTTGGGTATCAAGAAAAGATGGTAATGCGCATCGTATACATCCTCATCTATGGGTGGAGTGGCGGTGTGGTGGCGTCCTTTCTGTATGTAGTGGCGGGTCATGATCCACCCTGCGCTTTGACCACGCCCCGCACATCCCGCACCGCGACTTCGTAGTGGGCACGCTACCGCGATGGTGTTGTACCGGAAGGGATGGACCGCGCAGGCAAGGAGACAGTGAGTGTACTAGCCATCACACCAAAAGACCTTACTAGTGAGTAACAGCATTAACACTAGATCTTGTAATTTGCTTGTTTGATCCTAATGGAGTCTCCAGACCCGTTCGGGTTTTTACATACATGAGGTGCGTGCATCACATCTCGTGATCGATGTGATTGACCGCGTGCCGAAAGACCTCGGTTTGCTATCGCCTCAAGTACGTAGGAGGGATCTGTGGCAGAACATGCCGCCAGCAAAGCATATGCCAAGGCGGCAACGGTGCTTCGGTCTGGAATCCTAACGGATTGTGTCTGCTCCACCGTGTGCCCCAATCCTTCGCCCACTTCCATTGATTATTATGACCTGAGAGATTTCCTGATCTCTCAAGTAGTTCCTGAACCTCGCTGTCGAGATCGAACGGCGAGTGCAATGTGAAGTTACACCTGACTGGAGCACTATCCGTGGAAAGCGTACGAATCATCTCAGGCAGCCCGCTGAAGGCAAAAGCCTGGTGAAGGCGCCTATTCAGCCACGAAGGACTGAACGCGAATACATCGAGGGAGTAACATATTTCCAGTGCAGCTTGCCATGCGGCATCCCGCTGCACGATTCGGAACACGTTAGCTGTGTGGTTTGGAATGGGGTCTCCATCTAGTACAAGCGTATGCGAACCTTCCGGCATCCCGAGAGATTGTAAAGCCATTACTTCAGTCACCCATTTTCCTATCGACTTTGTGACGTTATAAGCGCGCAAACGGTCGCCCCGAAAGTCGCTGCTGTCCTGGTCACTTTTTGCGGCTGTGATGTACTTCCGGATGTCGTATTGACCGCGGCGAGAAACCAGGAACACGGCTTTCCATAGGTCGACGTGGCGTTCAATCCGGAGTGATCTGTTTTCTTGGCATATGGGAATGAAACCTCGACTGTGGCATTCGGGTTGTGCTACCGATACGTTGTTTTCCTTAAGGATAATTTTGCGGACGAAAGATCGGATATTCTTGGTGCAGGAAGCGAGGAACTGCAGTGCCACAGCAGCTGCTGAATAGTCATAGCACGTGTTCTCGTGAGGTCGCTCAGTCTCCAAGAAGCTGGGCAGCATATCTGACAAGCGCTCGAGCTCAGCATGATCGAGAATGCGCCAGGGCTGGAGATCTGCGTCCCTTAGTCGCAACAGATCGTGACATCCTCTCAGGGGCCAGCGCGCAACTCTGTCCGGTAATTCCTTGACAGTCTCCGCGTAGTCAGGGCATTCGGACATCAACTCCAGCATGTGTTCCACACAGTCGTCCCAGCTGGATCTGGCTTCACCATAGCTATCTTTGTATTCTCCGTGATTGTAAAAATGTCCCCTGCGCACCCATCCGTCGATGACTCCGGCGAATTGTGGGTAGCTCTTGGCGGCCGCCTGTGCCATTGGTCGCGTAAAGAGTTTGGACTTCGAAAGTAACTGCTCGAGCAAGACTTGCTTGGAATATCTGAGCATCAAGGCGACATGATGTTGAAGGCCGGCTTTCTCATATGTAGAGGTGGAATTGGTGGAAGAGAAGGTAAGTGCATTCAACTGGAAAGGTAGCCCTTCTAATTCGGAGGCGGCTTGTTTGCAAGTAAACGCCAACGCATAACATACAGGCTCCCCATTCGTTTGCATGAACCTTCGGGTTTCTGAATCGAAGATATAGCCGCCATCGCAGCGGATGTAGTAGTCGTAAATGATATCTCGAAGCTCGCGTGGCAGTCGAAAGATGTGGGGAAGGTTGGACGCAGATGGAGAAGTCGACTTCATGGGGAGCAGATGGCCATCGCTTACAGTGCATATGCCACTCGTATGCGACATGTTTAACAAAATTAGTATAATCAGTCTGAGAGTGTAAAGTTTCGCAAAAAAGCCTTGGGTGTGTGTCGCGATATTAGCGTCGGCTGCTGCCTAAATGTACCTCGCGTAATGTTAGGACGCCTTATATGACGAAGTGTACTTCCGAATGTCGCGCCTAAACCTTCTGGGGTACAGGTAAAGAGTAATGTCGCTACGAATGCGTGTCAATCCACAGCGCGACTGCCATGTTCGTCTAGATCGCCTGCTATGTCTTCAAAGGCGGTCTCTTGTTGCTTCGATGGGGACAGATAGGCTTTGTAATATTGACTCCTCAAGAAGCATGCGCTGTGATTTCAGACCACTAAATGAGAGAGATTCCAAGGTTGGTGAAGGCGCGACGCGTGTGTCATGTCAGGTGCTAGCGCGACGTTGCCCGCGGGCGGATCGCGTCCCCGAGCGTTCGTCAGCCTTCCGGAATGTTCTACGTCATCTTCTTATCCACCACAGCATCCCGAACAACGCCTTCACATATCCAAGAAGCGTAATACTACCCAGGCACTGCCATAGCCGTCTACAAATCTCCTTCAATATGGACGTCGAACTGTATGTGTATGACCTTTCTCAAGTAAGTGGCTAGAGCAGACGCACATGCGCCATCTTTCGCGACGCTTTGTAGACGTGTTCAGAGCTGACGGCATCTAGGGTCTTGCGCGAAGCATGTCGCGACAATTCTTGGGCATTCAGGTAAGCCATATATCTTCCAATACTGGGTGCATCCGCTGACACATCCTTCCGAACAGATCGATGCCGTATATCACACCTCAATCGTACTCGACGGCATAGAATACTACTATGGATCAGGCGTGCAAACATGTCGGGCGGGCACCACTCACCATGGCCGACCGATGGAAGTAATCAAGCTGGGGCAGACTGCGCTTCCAATGGAGGTCATATTGGAGTATCTCGAGTCTCTGAAGGGAATATACACGGCCGAGGTACGGTTCCGTTTAGCACTTTTGCGCAGGCTATGCTGACAGTCCATCCAGTCATACGATCTATTTGCGCACAACTGTAACAACTTCTCCAACGACTTCGCCATGTTCCTTGTCGGGAAAGGAATACCAGACCACATCACTTCCCTCCCGCAGACGGTCCTGAACACGCCGTTCGGACAAATGCTCAAACCGCAAATCGACGCCGCTATGCGACCCATCGTCCAAGCGCCCACACCGCAGCCGGTACAACCGCAAGCCCATACGAAAGCGTCGACTGCAAATACATCCAACGGGGCCTCTTCTGGGGGTAGTGCTTTGGAAATGAACACTGGCAGGGTCAACAACATAACAACACTGAAGGACGTAGACCGCCTTCTCGATCTCGCGAAAGACCGTTGCGCCATCATCTTCTTCACGAGCTCCACATGCGCGCCATGCAAGCTGGTGTACCAACCGTACGACGACCTCGCCGCCGAGACTGGCACCAAGTGTGTCTTCATCAAAATCGACTTCAGCCACGCCGATCGCTCCATCAACGCCCGCTATCCCGACGTTCGCGCGACCCCAACATTTATAACATACCTCAGAGGCGAGAAGCGAGACGAATGGAGTGGAGCTGATCCCAGGCAGTTGCGGAACAACGTGGAGATGCTGGTCAATGCCGCATTCCCAGCGCACCCACATCTCGAGAAGAGCACACCCATGCTGTTGCGGCAAAGTCAAAGGCCTGTCAAGTTCACCAAGGTGCCGCCACTGGAGAAGCTTGTCGCGAAGATGGGAGATGCAGGAAAGGAGCCAGCTGTGTCGTCAGTTGTATCTTTCATACAGACCCGCGAACAATCTGGGGCCATAGAAGCACCTCTGGGCGATCTGCCGCAGTTCGCCAGCTTCCTGAGGAGCAGCACCTCAGTACTCCCACCGGAGCTTCTGTTCACGGCCCTAGACCTGCTCAGGGTGGCCTTAACCGACGTGCGCGTGGCCGGCTTCTTCGCGGAAGAACACAAGGGAGCAACTGGCACACCGGCCACTATACACCATCTGCTGGACCACGTCGACAAGCTCGGCGATTCCGCGCCTTACCCTCTTAGACTTACGACACTGCATCTCGCATGCAATCTCTTCTCGTCGCCACTCTTCGTACCACACCTCCTCTCCCCGCCACTCTCCTCAACGCTCATCTCCATCCTAACAACCGCCCTCCTCGACGAGAAGCACCCCGCGCTCAAGGCCTCGGCTCTTAGCCTAGCCATGAACCTCGCGTCTTCGAACCACCAAATCCGCATGAAGAAGCACAGCGCAAACCCCTCCGCCTCGTTATCTTCCGAGGCCGAACTGCCGGACGCGGAACAAGGCGAGCTCTTGGCTTCGCTGCTGGAGAACATTGGCACCGAAGACCAGTGGAGCGAGAACCAGAAGATGGGTGTCATCTGTGTTGGTTGGTTGGTGTATGCCGCGGATATGCAGGGTGAATTGAGGGATACGTGGAAGGTTATGGACGCGGCGGGTACGATTGGGAAGGTTCAAGCGAAGGCTGGTGAGGATAGCTTGATGGTTAAAGAGGTGAAGAGTTTGTTGGAGGTATAGCGTGTAATGTTAAGATGATGAACATTATGATATTGGTGTTACGCCTTTTGAGACGTCTTTGCGGGTATCTGGCGGGCACCGCCGAGGGCTTCCACTGGTGACGCACTGTCTCGTGGTCCTAATATGTAATCGAATTACACGTTGATGAGAAGAGGAAGGCCTCCGGTTGTATCTCAGCCCGTTTTGTTCAGCAGCCTTAGTGTGATCACAAAAGAAACCAAGAAGTTCTGAAACCTACTTGTCTCCAACACTGCAATGTGGGGCGTTGAAGGTGACTCGCCAAACGTTGTCATTATTGATCCATGGTACGCTCCCAATCCCACGTGCGCATTCGTAATGCGCCCTTCACAAACTTTTCGGACTCATGCTAATCCCAGTCATACATACCTCGCAACGACCATCGGCCCAGCCTGCTCACCTTTATCATCTACTCCGCTCACTCTCGCCCTATCGTGCGAACATTATGTGCGACGAAAACTCTAAATGCCATCCGGATGCGATCCCTCCAAGTGTCTTCAGGGAGCTTGCATCACCACACCGCGACGAAGATGAGATGGATGACGAAACGATCTCCGCTCTCATAAATAAATATCATCTGAGTCAAGAAGTCGTCCTGCTGAAGCTTCGAGGCTACTCCCTCCTAAACCACATATCACTCAGTCTCACCAACGACGAGTACCTCGCATTCGTCGGCTACGACACTTGCTACCGTCCCGATGGAGCTATCAAAAGCAAGGCATCATACACGAATCAAGATTGTCTAAAGCAACTAACAACCATAACCACTCTCCGCCACATAATCCTCCAATTCCAAGTCCTAAAACCAGAACACTACATCGTCTCGAGTAAAATCTCCTGGGACCCATGGGGCCTTCAAGACCCCGAACGGAGAATCTCGTGCCAGAAGAAACTCGTCGATATCGTTTTGACACTGGGCTATGAGTTGCTGCAACGCATCCGGAAAGTGACGATTTCAGGTCACGTTAAGACCTCGAATCGTGTGAAATGGGATCCGCTCCTGCGAGACCGGGAACTGAAGAGTTTACCGCGGGAAAGGCGCGATATGGAGGATGAAGTAAAGAGAATTCTGGCGATACCCGCGGCGGAATTGTGAGTTTAATGATGATAGTGGTGTGGAAGACGTGAAGGTGCAAATTGAGTTGCGCAGGCCGCCGAGTTGCGAGTTTAAGAAGCCGTGTGCGTGGTGGAAGGATAGGAATGGGGAGTGGGGGGATGCTTCTTATGGATTTGAGTGTGAAGACTGATGGTGGTAATACCTAGGTGTACTAGGTTCAATCGTCAAAGATTTGGAAGGTTGTTATTCATCATCATGTTTGAGGCTCGATCATCCAGTAGATAACTAGTCGAAGACGTATAGAGTTACTAGACCGCGTTGTGTTGCCCTGCTCTGCATCAATATTCCACCGTAATAACTATTCGAAGACACGGTGCAGTCGAAGCATATGCCATGGTGGTAATGGGGCTGCAGTATCGAATCCTTCCTGTTCGTGCATGTCCCAATTGCGGTCCCAGTCTTGTGCAGTCCAGGAGCTATGCTCCTCCAACAGCTTTTCAACGTCATACGAAGGGCCTAATTCGAAGTTGCAATTGACAGGAGAATCTTCTTTCGCCAAGTTGTCGATGATACCCGAGAGGCCTTCGTATATATGTGTGACCTGGAGCCGGCGCTCCTGCCAAGATGGTGTTGGCAACATACCACGAGAATAGGCCGTGTCCAGGGCACATTGCCAAGCGACATCTCGTTGTAATACCCGGAATGCGTCGGCTGTAGGTGTATCCGGTGAAGTAGGCTCGCCTTCGAAGACAAGACGAAATGAACCCTCCGGCATCCCGAGATGGGGCAAAGCCAGGGCTTCCGCCATCCAGGAGCCAACCGCTTTGGAGATGTGCTTAGAAAGCAAGCGATCATTTCGAATTCTTGCCAAGGCCCAAAGATCTAATTCACCATTTTCTCCACCATTTTCTCCACAACGCAGACTTGCTTCCCGATAGTCGAACTTCCGATACGGCGTTACTGGGAAAGCGTTCCGCCAAAGACTGACAACGCGCTTGACGCGAAGCTTTGGATTAGACTGACACAGTTTAATAAACCCTCTCCCATGACGATTGGGATATGCCACAGATTCGCGGTCTTCCAGAAGCGTTATGCTTCTTATCTCGCTTCGCAGAACGTCTGGCAGAGTGTAAAGGAAGCGAAGCGCATTCGAAGCCGCAGAGTATGTGAACTTCGTGTTGGGTTCGAACTGACTTCGTTCGAGCTTGTGGTTGATGATACTTGCTAATCGCTCAAGCTCAGTGAGATCAGGAATGAGCCAAGGTTTTGGTGACTCATCGTTAACTTCAATTGCCCGGCAGATGATTTCTGGTACCCGTCGTTTTGGTGCAGCGGGCGCTCTTGCTGCGAACCAAGAATGGCTTGGTATTAGATCCAGAATGCGGTTTACGAAAGTAGGAATGAACCAAGGTCTCCATGATGTATGATCCACTTGATCGGGACGATGCGTGTCCCACATCCCGGGTATAAAAGAAGCTCTTGTATCGAAACAAGGATGCTTTGACATCAAATCCAAAATGTAGTGTTTAAAGTCCAACCAGACCGAAGGGGCCTCCCCGCAATGAAAGCCCTTTTTGTGAAGGATAGGAACATCACTTCCTGGGGTCCAGCCGTCGAACACCGGCGCAAATTGTGGATACGCTTCGACTGCTAACTCCACCTAAAGTGACAATGTACGGAGTCAGTATATGTCTCACACGCATCTCGTATATGGGGGATCTTACCATGTCGCGGTTGAGAAGCTGAGACACAAGCGAACGAAGCATGATATGCTTTCGGTATGCAAAATCACCCACCACAGCATGATGTACACCTGCAGCCACCTGTTCGCGCTGCAAGTCGGACGTTGAAAACGTAATTGTGTTGATGCGAAAGGCGAGACCTCGGACTTCGCACGCGACCTGGCGACAGGTATAGGAGAGGGACAGCGATATAGGTGAATTATCTGCCTGCGTGAGTTTCTCGAGCTCAGCATCGTACAGGTATCCGTTTTCGACTGCAAAATATCGCTCGTAGATCATGTCGCGAAGTTCGCGCGGTAGTCGGAGGAAGGACATCGTAAGCGAGTCAGCACTGCAACAACACGGTGAGGCTGTTTGTATGGCGTCGCGATTCGGTTTAGTGAAGTATTGTAGGATGATGAGACGAGCGTAACGGAGATGGAGGTTGATTAGTTGTGCAAAGTGCCGCAGAGGGGGCGCTTTTCGCAGAAGTGTACTCTGGTTCGTGGAGCCGCGTAGTTTGGTAGAGAGGCCTGCTTCCATACAAAATCTGCTCAGCCACCCGTGGACGTACCCAGAGTTATTCGACGCTTCGAACCCCAAACAGGGAGAGAGCTAAACAGTTTTACAGACGACATGGAAGCAAAAAGTTGCAAAGTATGCGACCTCACGTTGACGTAGGCTCTGGGGTGGAGAGCTTTTATGCTAGGTTGGCGTGCTCGGATGGAGTTGCAGGTAGTCAGTGCGCACGCGTTACCGTTCACGGGCAAGCCTCGGCTCGTCCCACCCGTGGACCTTTCGTACATTTCCCCAATCTCGCCACAGCAATAACGACGTATCAGCACAACATGCAGGTATATCGCAGTCACATCATTAGTCAAGAGGATGGGTGAAGCAAATGATTTTATGGAGATTGATTGCAGATTACATGCTTGATGAATGCCTTGGTCCCTAGTTCGCAGTTGACACTGAATGCCACTCTTGTTCGAACGAATCCCAAAGCCTAGGGCCTCCAAATGACATGTCCCCAACGAAGCACATGCCAAGGTGGTAGTGGTGGCTCGGTCTGGAACACCCTCGGCTCGTGTGAGCCCCAGCCCAAATCCCACTCTGACTCAGACCATCCTTTGTGCTCTTCTAACAGTTGCTCAACATCGTGAGGTGGAGGAACCTCAAAGTTGGTTCTGATGAGCGAGCTGTTGGTGGAAAGAGCTCGAACTGCTTCTGGTAGTCCTTCATAGATGAAGCCACTGGTATTTAGTCGCCGATCGAGCCAGGAAGGTTGCGGTAGGAGTCCCCGGGCGTAGCAAGTATCGAGGGCGGCCTGCCATGCGACGTCGCGTTGGATAATGCGGAAAGCGCGGGATGAAAGCTCTGGCACAGGATCGCCATCGAGAACGAGAGTGAAAGAGCCCTGTGGCATGCCGAGTAATACAAGGGCCTCGGCCTCCTTCATCCACGTACCCACCGCCTTAGTCATGTCCTCGGCCTCACATCTGCTGAGGAACAAATACCCTTCATCACCTCTATCAAACAAGCTTTGATCGTTTTCCAAATAACTGGACAAGCTAAACGAAGCGATAGGGAAGACATTGCTCCAAAGACTGGCGCGGCGTTCAACTTTGAGCTGTGGATATGTCTGACAGAAAGGGATGAAGCCTCTGCCATGGCTCTCAGGAAGTGATATCGATTCGCGGTCCTCAATCAACAGGATCTTCCGAATGTTCTCGCGTGTAGTCTTGGGCGCGGAGTGCAGAAAGAGAAGAGCTCTTGAGGCTGCCGAATAAGCGTGCTTTGTGCGAGCAGAAAGGTGGAAAGTGTCGAAGGGCTGTCCCGAGATCCTCCGCAGCCTCGCAATTTCCGTGCTGTCTGGGATTTCCCAAGGCCTAGTATCAACATCGCTAACCAGATGATATTCATTGTTCTTGAACGGCAGCTCAGACCATACTCTAGCATTCTTCAGAAATTCAGGGTGCTGAGAGACTAGAGCCAAGGTGAAGGCTACAAAGTCGTGCCAAATGGACGGAGCCTCACCACATATCAGGTAAGGCCTGAACATGGCGCGATGGATTATCGAGTGACGCGGCGACTGCCAGTGATCAATCACGGGCGCGAATTGCGGATACGCTTCCCTCGCCGTCTGTGCTTGCTCTTCGCTGAGATAGTCATGCGTTGCGTAGTTGAGTATCGACTCTTTGATGTAGCGAATGGCATTGTTGCTTGCATGGAGCAAGACGGCATCTTCCTGCGTGGCATCCGAGTGGAAAGTCGTGAACCGAAGTGTATTGCTTCGCAGGGCAAGGCCATGGGTTTCGGCGGCGATTTGCCGGCAGCTCAGCACGAGAGACAACTCGATCGGTTGATCGTCGGCTCGCCTCAGCTTGTTCGTGTCGAAAACGTGTGTATAGCCCCCATCACAGCTGAAGTAGAAGTCGTAGATGCGATTGCGGAGCTCGCGGGGCAGGCGTAGAAGAGGCGACATGATGGTGATGGTGTCGTTGGGTATATTCGTCCTCTACAAATGCAGCCTTGGCTTGGCGAACTATTTAGCGATTAGCTGCCGGCGGAGCCGTGTCGTGTTTGAGTACTCACATTATTTTTGCGGGAGATGGAGATGCGGCTCGGACTTGGAGAGGGATTTGGCCTTAGTTCGAGATGCTTGTTAGAGGTGTGCATTGGTATGCGGGATGATAGCGATACCGTTGAGGTTTGCGAACGAGACCACTGAATTATCATCAATACCGCATCGTAGATTTGTGATCAAGATGCTGTCTGGGATTGTAGTTGAGGAAAGACAAAACCTTTGGGCCTGCAACGAAATTCTTTGCTCCTCTACCTGTACCATGGTACTAACATCAGGCTGCTGCCTTGGCGACCTTGCAACACTGGTAATGCCATTGCGCTTCCTCCATACCATCCATGGATCGTTCACCACTCCATCATCACACGCAGCCACTTGAGTACATGCCACGGAGGCAACGGAGCCTCAGTTTGGAAGCTATGCGACTGGTGCCTATTCCAACCCTGTTGCCATTGTTGTAACGACCAGCCATGGTGCAGCCTAAGAACGCTCTCGACATCTTCCGGTTGCCCAATGTCAAAATTGCAGCTGATTGGCCCACCTTCGGGTGACATGCTGCGGATCGCAGCTGGAAGCCCTTCGTACTGGTATCCAACGCGAGTTCGTCGCTCATACCAGGAAGGGGTAGGTAAAAGACCTCGAGCATATGCAGCATCGAGAGCTGATTGCCAGGCGACATCTCGCTGCACGATCTTGAACACTTTCTGGGTGTGCTCGATAGTAGGACTGCCGTCCAA